ATGGTGCTGACAGCTCTGTCAGTATCACACCAGCCCTGAACCAAGCTTGACTCTGGGAACTTGCCAGCATGATGATGCCAATCTCATTACTTTTCTCCTTCAAGATAAGTTTCAGGACTTCAAATCTTCAAAGATGGTCAATGGATTGGCGTTGAGCTGTTCCGCATGCTTTCGTGGTCAACGTGGGCTGCCTCCTGCAGGTCCACTTTCACTCAAAACTGTCTTCACTCTGTCTTCACTCTGAGTTTGGTTCATGCTTTGCTAATTAACATTAGTTTTATATAGATAAGGACTAGGATAAGTTATGATTAATGGCTGCGTTGGAGTGCAGGTGATCAGTAATGACAGGTTAAAGAGTGTGAAACACAGAGTGGTGACAAATGCGAGCAGATTTCGATCATCAGCTGCGTTTTTTGTGACGGCTGTGGAGGGAAGTGTGATAGAACCAGCAAAAGGTGCTATGGATCAACTCCATCCTGCCCGCTACCGACCCTTCACACCTAAGGATTTCTACATGAAATTCTTTGAAAACGATGCTGACCACGGAAGCAACTTTAATCATTTCAGGGCTAGCTTGACACCATGAGTCAAATAAATAATGACAATCTAGCAGTTTGTGAAGTTTTGTTTACAGCTTTGTTTCGCTTGTCTATGTTTCAAATAACCAGCCACCAGCGTGCGTGGGAGTTTATTACTGTATTTTCATTCCTTTGGTGTAGCTTTATAATAATTATCTTTTATTCAAATCCTAAAATTAGCAGACTAAAGTTACAAATTATTGTCTAAAGCGAAATAAACTAAACCATTTCTCTCTCTAAATTTCAATCAGACAGTAATAGTTAAAAATTAATTAGCACCAACATCAATGTCATAAGTATACAAAAGAGTTCTTTAAGTAATAAAATAATAAAAATCATAAATTTCTAATTGAAATCATAAAAATCATAAGTTATATAAATATAAAAATACTCTGTCAGAAATATAATTTAAAAATATTAACATACATAACATAATTAAATAATTATCTAAATTTGAAATCAAACAATTCTTTAAAGTTCAAATAAATAAACCATCATTCAAAATTGAACAACCAAACCATTATGCTAAGTTTAATTCTAAAAAATGGACAATAACAATTAAATATTTGAAGCATCATGAACAATGTTAAAAATATCAATAATATTAAATATTAAACAATATTTAAAATAGGGTTAAAAGATAAAAAAAATATTTATGAACTTTTCCTCTAAGCCCCTAATATCTCTTAAGTAAAAGATGGTGCAAAAATAGCTATAATGTTAATTTAATTAGTGCAACTGTCTCGAAAATCGTTAAAGAGCTCAACGTCCCATTATATTCTTGACCGTCATTGCCACGTATCCCATGCCAAATCCCTCTCTCCCTTGAATCTCAAACCATTGAATTCATGGCGGGGAGCACCTTGATTCCGGCAAGCCAAAACCCAAAAAGAAGCCTTGTCCATCTTGGATATATTGGGCACAACGAATCTTAGAGCATAGAACTGCTGGTTCGGCTTCTCATGCCGTGTGTCTCTTGCTTCCCTAAGATTCAAGGGCGTCCCTTCCATTGGCAGGCTTTCTACCCTGTTTTCCTTGTCCTCCTTTCATCTGTTTGCATCCTGTTTGCTCTTCTTTGCATGAAGCTTCAACATTTGATAACTCTGTTTTATAGCATTGATTAGTCTTACAATAGGCCTTGAAATGGCTCCAGATTGAGAAACCAATCTGCATTTGCGCTTGCCTTTGTGGTTGGTAGTTGCTAAGCCAATAGTCTTGCCTAAACTACTTCTAATCTAGGGGTGCCGCTAAGTGGAGGGCGAGAGCGTTGCCGTCGAGAGAAATGATTGAGGGCAGTGGCAGTGTCAGGACATGGTGGATGCTTGATACATTTTTAAAAATTAATAATTTAAAAATAATTAAAAAAAATTGAACCCAATATCTAGAGTTAAGCCAAAGGGACATGAATCTTTTTTATGATTTTCTTCGAGCCCAAGGGATAAATTTGCTTCCTGGGCTTCAATGTAGCGCCACTAGTGATTTGAGGGATTGAAGAGCATGTATAAGGATTCTCCCTCCGTCCCTATATACTCCGTCACTAACTCAGTGAAGCGAGCGGTGGTGAGTGTGGATCCAGAAGAGGCGAAGAGAGCATGGAACGAGCAATACAAGAGGGATCGCTTTGCTGAGGCTTACTCTAAGTCTATACGATCGAGCAATTTCATTACCATCTGCCAATGCAACCTACGGGAGCAACTGTGCAGCCACATGGATGGGCTTGGGACGGTTGGCTGATGCGGTGGGGGAGCGTTGATCATGGAGTAACTTGCAACGTGAGGTTCTAGTGGGAGGTGAGAGACCATACGACGACAGAGGAACAAGCTTGGATGAGTCGGTTCCAAATTCCAATGATATTTATGGAGAGAACGAGAGGGGAATGGTGGTGAACGGTTGGGCAGATCGTGTTTGGATGAACAAGAGATACCTCATATTTTGCATTCCACCTGGCAAGGAGACCCACTCTTAATGTTGAAATTAACAAATGTTAAAAACATTTAACGGTTTAATCATTTTTATACTCATTAAATCAATATTATAAATATTTTTGTGCCTTTTTTATTTAAAGATGCTGGGTGTTTTTGAATAAAAAATTTATAAATATTTTTTGTTTTTTAACCCTTTTAAAATAAATAAATAAATAACAGGATACAAATGGGCCGATCCTTCCACCTAAATAAGCCGACTCTCAATCTTAAAGGGCTTCAGCCCTATTTTGAGGTGCACATACGCGTGCCAATTCTAACAATTCTAAAACCTAAACAAGTTGTGGCGCTACAAGTTGGCCCACTCTACTCAATTAGGTAGGCATGATTAGATTTGCTTTTTAGTTGGGAGTGGCAACCGTCAAGAACATGGGGAGTTTGGGGATGGAAACGCATTGCGCGCGCTCATCATCCCTGTGGAGAGATATGAATCATTTATTTCTCTTCAAACAAACCTTGCTGTTGAATTAATTTTTTTAAATATTTTAATATCGTATTTACAAAATAAAATATATAAAAATTATAGTATTAAATATGGATTGTTTTTTATATTATTAGAGGATAAATAGTTCACACTCATCACTCTTGATAAAATTTAAATAGTTCAAATTTAATTTTTTTATTTTTATTTTATATTTATTAAAATAAAAAATATGGAAAAAAATATAGAAGTCTTTAATATTATTTTTTTAATACTTTTTATAAATTGACTATTTAAATATATTCTGAATAGTACATATATAATTTATAAGGTCTAATTTAATATTAAAATTTTATAATTTTAATTAATTAATTATTTAGATACACTTTAAACAGTTGATTTAACATTATAATTTTCCATAATTTTTATTTTGATAAATTTAACATAAAAATATTTTAAAAATAATTTTAAGTCAACGGTAGATGTCATTTAAAAAATAATGAAGAGCTCAGGTTACCCCATAACGGTGCTCATAAGCACCGAATGCGGTCCCGTTTGGGAATGTTTTCTGCACTCTGCTGTAACAGAGCTTTGTTTCGTCTTTGGCGATTTCGGCTTAAATGATGAGAAAGTTCCCTGATGGCCTCACGGATAGGTGATGACAAGGTCGTTCATTGATTTGGCAGCATTTGTTTATGGACCACCAAATTTATGTCAGGGACCTTATCAAAAGAAACGTCGCGTGTAGTTTCAGTAAAGGATTGGCCTTAAGACTTGTTGGTGGGTTCCCACTCGTTTTTGTGCTTTTGGTGTTGACTCGACTTACAAGGCCAAATTGAGCTTGAATTGCCTCAATTCGACCATGTATCATATTAGGAAAAGATATATGATGTTGAGAAGAGATCGAGGTCCAATTAATCCTAATATAACCGAAAAAAGAAAAACCGTTGTTCGTGAATCCTTTACAAAAGTAAAACGATTGGAGGCGGGGTCTTTTTGTCGGAAAGTTGATATCATAAAGAACGACATATGTAAAAACATCACTGAAAATTGTCTCTTTTAACATGTTCTTGAGTGATACTGGGTGTTAAATGTAGTGGGAGAAGTTTACTGTTACAGAACACCCAGATTCAAAGCAGTAACAGTGGGAATTGTTATGGAGATCTGTATTTAAGCCAGACAGATAGACAGCCACTGTCCACCCTACTCCCAATCCCAACCTCCAGATCGTTTCTTGTGGTGTAAACAGAGACAGGGTTGGAGCCCCAACAGAGTTCACGCAAATATATATATATATATATATATGTATAACTGCTCATGATCTCGCTTTCTAGTTTCAAAATTTCCAGACTTGACTTCTGCAAATCGGTGATTAATACAGCCGAGAATGGATTCATCTGATCATTTCTGTTCACAAGCCCAGAAGGTGGACCCCTCATCCTTCATCCCTTGTTTGAAAATCAATATTATTCGAGATTTCCTCAACTCAAATCCTTGCTTTTGTCTTCTACCTCTAATTCTATTCTCCGAAATTATTATTTTAAAACAATGGCAAGCTTTACGATCGGCCAGCCATCACAGGAAAAAAAACAATTTGTTGAAGCGTTGCGTTAGGGTCGCTGCAACTGAAGTTCAATGTTTCGCCATAGAATATTGCTCACGTGCTGAATTGCAATCACTATTTTTTATGGTTGCAACCCGATCTTTGTACCTCGGAATTGTTAAAAGCACTTCATTAATTAACAAACTAATGTCGCCACCTCGGGACCCCCTCGGATTAATAATTTTACCCAAGTGGATGACACAAGAAATAATGTGTGTATAGTTAATTATCCTGACCTCACCTGCAAAACAAAACATTATTTAAGGACACAATTCCAACGAAATGGTTGAGGTGACCTTGAATGTGCCACTTAGCCATCGCCACTTTGAGATTAGGAATTGGGATCCACATTCGTTGAACTCGGGGAGCAATCTCCATCATGGTTCCTCCTGGACGCTGATAATTACCCATCCATTGAATCTGCAAGGTAAAGTTTTCGCTGCCAATTATGAAGTGGCCGCACAATATAAATGGCAAGTTCAAGCCAGTATCGATAAGCACTATCACACCAAAAGAATGGAACAGTCGCCAAAGAAAAAGGAGAAGGAAGATGGACCGAGAGAGACCAAGTACAGAGGAGTACGGAGGCGACCATGGGGGAAGTTCGCAGCAGAGATTCGAGATTCGAACAGGCACGGAGCTCGAATATGGCTGGGCACTTTCAGCACAGCAGAAGAAGCGGCGAGAGCCTATGATCGTGCAGCTTTTGGGATGAGAGGGCAATCGGCGATTCTGAACTTCCCGGAAGAATATGGTTTGAGCAATGGGGGAAGTGCTGGTGCTAGTAGTAGTAGCCACCAGCATCGCTGTTCATCGTCGTCTTCAATGGTGGAAGCCCAGGGTCAGGGTGGGAGACAAGTGTTTGAGTTCGAGTGTTTGGATGATAAATTGTTAGAGGACCTTCTCGATCATGCCGCCAAGAAAGAAGAGTAAAGCCTACCCTGTTGGCCTCTAAGCTAGGAATTCAATGGTCTCTCCATATATATATATATATATATATATTTTTTTTTTTTTTGGGGGTTGAATCTGTCTGTTAATTCGTTTTCGTCTCTTTTCTTTCCTTTCTTTTCTCTGTCCTACAGACAGTTATTTCGTTTTCGTTTCTCACTTTTATGGACCTCGCAGTCCACTTCTTTTGAGTAAGTCTAAGTAGCGATTGATACAAGACTTTATATTTGTGTATGTATATGTATGGATGTAGGTATTTGTACAGTTTAAGCTAATTTATTTTCTACGTTTTGATCTTTCGTTCTGAAATAGTCTATAAATTATCCCTTTTTCTACCGGTACCAAATAATTGTATTTAGAGTTCTTTTTTCATTTTTATTTGTTAACTCCTATTTTCTTGGGGAAAGAAAATATGTAAGAGATTGTTATGGGAAAATATTTAAGAGATGATTATAAAGTAAATATAAAATTATTTTATTTAAATAAAATTAAATGAAGTCAACGAAAAATAATATAATTTAATCTAATGAAAAAATTTATACAATTTAAATTATTGTTAGAAATGGATGAAGTTCTGTTCAACAATGAAGTTCAGGCCCAAACTTTTTCTTACTTTTGGGCCAAACAAATTTTTCTTCGAAGAATATCTTGGGTCAGCGAAACCTAGTATCTATGAATCTAGCCCAAAAAGATCTTTTAAGATTATGTTTTTTTTTTTTTTTTTAAAGAGAAGATCTCTTAAGTTGTCGAGTAACATTTGGAGTCGAGGATAACAGGCAACGCAAGCTACATTAGTTGCTTTTCAACCCGGGACCAATCAGACTCCATTTTTGTGTCATAATTTAGTTCGACTTCAGTTTTTAATTACAATATTCTTGGTTAAGTATATTTATTAAATTTAATGAAAAATGTTAAAATTGATTTAAAATATGTTTCAGAAACAAAAAATATTTTTGTATAATTTTCACGAAATTGAAGAAAAAATTACATAATTTAGTATGAAAAAAATGTGTGACTTTTGTTTATTCCAATCCCACTTAATCGTTATTTGTTTCAAAAAATTTCGTCAAATCGAAAATATTAGCCAAGCTGAAATGTAGGTTTTGACACACCTCATTGGAATATAACTTCAAATGATAATGCCAATATGAGAATTTTACTAATAAGTAATTCATAAATTTTTTTTATAAGTGTTCTTTCCATAGTCCTAGGTGTAATATAGATCTCATTTTAATAGATTAATCTGACCTAGCCTATTTTCGTTCTCTCCTTTGGACAATTTCTTTCCGGCGGCCTTGTATTTTAAAAAAATAATAAAAGAAGAAAATATTATTTGCAAGGGAAAGATACGTTATTGGATAGATTTAAGAAAGTAAAAGAAGTGTTGTCAGTGCACTTAAATGCTGTCAGTGCAAAAAAATTTAATCAGGGAATTGCAAAATGAAAAAGAAGGTTTGAAGGAAAAAAAATATATAAATAAATCAGGTACACCATATTATTTATAGTCTATTTAATTAAAATATTTTAAAAAATATAAATAAAATTTTGTGTGATATTTTTTTAAATTAATTTTATTTTTTATAACAAAATACACATTTAATTTCTTGTCTTTTTTCTTTCAACTATTATTAATATTAGAATTAATTTATAGTTACTGTCATCTTTTTATTGAACAGATTATAAATAATGTGGTGCACCCAATTTAATTAAGTATTTCTCTTAAAGAAGAGAATGCATTTTAAGGGCAAATAACTATAAAGTCCTTTATAAGCATTATAATCACCAAAAAGTCCCACTGAATACATAAATAATTGTGAGATTCTAATGGATTTGGTTGTGACTAATATTTGTTATAAATTGACAAAAATACCCTTATTTGGGGGGACACTCAACACTCAAGAGTGAGCAAAATCAAATCACAATTGAAAATAGAATTGAATCAAATTGAATTTTATCTATTTAATTTGGTTTGGTTTTTTAATTTGATTTGATTTTCTTTTAAGGAAAATTTTGATTAATAGGTTTGATTTCATCTAAAAATTCTTGAATCAAATCAACCGAACCTACCACATTATACATATTTTTCTTTTCATATTTTTAAAAATGTGATTAAATTCTCATCTAGGTGAGTAAAAAATATCTTTCTATCACTTGCAATAAAAGTTTTTTTTCATTTAATGTGATATTCTAATTTTTTTATTTTTATAATTTTATTTTTAATGTAATAGTACTGAGTCTTATTAATCTTCTCATAAATTATGATATAAGATTGTTATTTTTTTGCTAGGCCTTCAACATCAAGGGAAAAAAATTAGATAGAAGAATATATGAATAATTAGACTTTATAAACCCAAATCAAAATTCATGAACTGAATAGACCGATAAAATCGAATCATTATAATTCATTTCAGTTTTAATTTGATTGGTTCATGTATTTCGATTTGATTCTATTCAAATTTTTTATATAATTTGGCTGATCAATTTTAGCAAAATTGAAATTGAATCAATCAAACCGACTAAAGGTTCACCCCTATAAACACTCGCACAATCACTTCCTCTCTAACTAAGACATCACATTAGTATGCGATTGGAACTCTATTGACTCTTAACAATCTGTGTTGCTCATATTCTTATTCTTGAAATTAAAAATTATATTTGCTTTGTCCAGTACAGGCTATTTACATAAGTTTGCTCAGAGAAAAAAGGAAAACAAAATCAACCACAAACACATTAATAAAGAAAACAGTCCCTCCCCATGATTAGTGATAGATTGGAAATCTGTGACTAAATATCCATCACTAATTTTTATTTTCTTAACAGTGGCTCTTCCCTCCCAGTATCATTTTCTTTTGAATGGAAGGAGATTTTATTATAAGAAAACAAAGAAATGACAAGGCTGAGCAATGCCTTCAAGAGTAAGTTTGCTCATGATCTTGGATTTCTATTAGGATACCTGGAAGAAGCCCATGGTGAAGGCTACCCACTTGACTTGCTCCACCACGGCAAGACGATGGTCAAGAGAGTCAAGACCGTAAAGGTCGATGGTGGGGATTCTGGCACCAATGAAGATAGGGTTCGAGGATGACTAAGAATAAGAATAAGAAGGAGGGAGGGAGGGAGAAAGGAAGAGGGAAGGGGTTGTGGGAGTACTTCGTGCGTTTTCTTTTCTTCTTTTCTTCTTTTTTTAATCAGGGTACTTTTATCGATTCACAACAAATATTATTCACAGCCAAGTGGCTAGGACCTCACAATGGAACTTGATGGTAGCTAGAATGCTTGTAAGGACTTTATACTGATTTTCCCATGTTTTAATTCATAGCTAAGGAGGCTGAGCAGTGGAAGGAGAGTGGGGATGATGAGGAAGCTGTGGTTGAAGAAGAAGATCGTCCAACACCTTGTCATCCAAGCACTCCAACTCAACCGGATCATCCTGTTGCTGTTCTTGGCTCTGTGAGCTCTCTCTGTCGGCGGCGGCTGAATTATGTGAAGATGAAGAAGCTGCAACTGCACAAGAAGAAGAGAAAGAGATCATGGTAGTATGAGGAGGAGGAGGAGGAGGAGGAAAAAGGTGGGTATAATGGTTAGGGAAGTTGAGGATGGCTCGGTGACCCCTGAATCTGAAAGCGGCGGCGTCGTAAGCCCTGGCGGCCTGCTCAGCGGTGTGGAAGGTTCCGAGCCAAATGCGCATGCCGTTCCTGGAAGGATCTCTGATCTCCGCCGCATACTTCCCCCACGGCCTCTTCCTTATCCCTCTGTATCTCTTCCCTTCCATCCTCTTCGTCCAATACATCTTCTCTTCAATTCCTATATATAAACACACGGCCACGTACGACCAACGAGGTTTATTGTTTTTTAATATTATTAATTGGGCTGATCCATGTTGCCTTCCTCTACTATACAACGGCCATCCACTTGCGTGAATGACTGCGCTCGCTTCTGTATGTTCATGTACAACTTGCATTTCTCTTTCGATACTATGCAAAGATTTGGTTAATAACTGCCTCAAAAAGGGACGATTTTTCAATCCCACTATCAAAGCCACGTTCCTTTTGCCTTCCCCTGCCCTTTTACTTCATTTTATATCTTCCACACGGCTTTTCATTGCCCACATGCATGCATTCAATCTATATATATATATATATATATAATTAATGTGAGTGCATGCCTGAGGGATTTGGACTACAGCGTTCAAAAAATCAGCGGCAAATAAATCAATGCTCGTGATAAGAAATCCACCCTAGTTTATGCCTCATCTCCAATTCATCTTCTTTCTCTGACTTCAACACGACACCCCTCATGTCACTGATTTACCCTCCTTCCTCAGTAAACAGGTTTTCGTTATGAATAAGTCTAAGAGTTAGTTAATTAAGACGGTGCTATTTCGCCATTCCTGCCTATTTATTCCCCCGGTCTGCCCCATTTTTAATTTAGATATAAGTTGCTCTACATTCCTGATAATTACTTACAGGCAAAATCAGGTGAGGTACCGGTACGTCTTGCTTGTTAATGTTTTTCAAAGAATGCATATTAATAAATAATAAATAAAAAAGCGGAACCCGACTTGAGTCTAGTCTATTATTAATGGGGCGATACTTCGTACGAAAATGAAATCGAGTAAGGCCTCGATTATTGGTGATTTTTTTAAGTTGTAAAACAACTAACAGCTCTCCATCTTTTCTTTTGTTTTCCTTCAAGGAGATCAGAGTGTTGTGCGCAGGATACAGAAAGAATCATATGTAGAGTTATTTAATTAAAGCGTCCACGTTACAATAATAGAATGCCGAGATCGGTAAATAATGTCATGCATGACATAGAAAATGGTCTATGGTCAGATTCAAACCTTCATTCACCTTTTCCTTTCGGATTCCCCATTGGTTGTTTGTTGTTTGACCCCACGTTTCTAGGTCATCCGATCATCATTTCATGGCACCAACTCACGATTCCATTCCTCCCCCATCCTCCATTAATTCTTCACATACAAACCTGAAGCGTCTCAATATTTTATTCATCCTTCCAAATATTTGTTTCAAGTTTTAACACATTAATTTACGAATTTTACTTTCCCGCAACCCTCCAGTTTCCACAGGAAACATCAGAATTCTGAAATGATGAGCTTCACAAGAGAAACGGAGTGCGAGTGTCGCAACATTTGTCTCTATCACAAGTTCACAGACATGGAAATCCAAAAACTACAAGGAATTTCGCTGATATATTTCACTTGAGGAGAATTTGGCAGTCAAAAGCTCAACAAATGCAAGGAAGAAAGGAACAGAAAGAGGAGAAGAACCTCTATGCACAGGGAAGAGAAGAGAAACAACTAGAGATGGAGATGACCATTTATATATATACCCTAACTTCTTTTCATTGAGCCCTTACCTCTTAAGTCTAATAATAATAACTTCTAGCCCATTAATTACTAACTCACAAACCCAATCCATATTTTCCTTAAGCCCATTCCTGACATCACACAACCAACATGGCCGAAGCTAATGCCACAAGAACGAAAAAGAGTTGGATTCATACTTCACAGCATGTGCGGCATTCATCTGACTCACGCTGTATCCCTGCTTGCTGCCTGAATTCTTCTCCTCTTTTTCACGCTAGTCCTTCGATTCATTTATTTATTAATTAATTATCTCTTTTAACTGGTCCATTAAACAAGGCACTATAATTCTTAAAACTCATTGAAACATGTGTCCACTATATTTTTAGGCCAGTGCAAGTTTGTTGTTTTCATTAGAATTGGTAATATGGGCTAACCCGTGACCCGTGGGTTGGCCCGTAGTGGGTTGCGGGTTATGTAGGGTGGGTTAGCATTATATATGAAAAATATTATTTTTAGTATTTTTTTTAATTTCTCTAAACTAGGATGTTGATCACCTTAACATTAATACCAAGAAATTCTTTCACACTTAAGCCGTATGTACTATAATTGGCTAAAAACAAAAGCATAATAACAATGAGTTTTGATATAAAGAACACAGAAAACCCAAACAACAGTGAGTTCTCATGCAAACAACATAAACTCTTAGAAATAAAATATGTTACAAAATTTCTCCTAATCAATGATAATGTTAGAAGGTTTATCAGAAGCTGCAATAACATTAATTTGAGTAGATTTCTCCAAGGCTTTATCTATCACAAACAAAAATAAAACATAATTAATATGAAAATATAATTAACATTTAGAAATCTAGAAAGTAAATGAGAGAATATAAATATTATATTACCAAGTCATGGAAAACCAAAAATCCAATTGCGAGTACAAATAAGAGCTTCAACATTATCAAGAAGAAGGTTACTTTGATATTTTGTGAGAACTCTCGATCCAATGCTAAAAGCAGATTCACTAGCCACTGTAGTGATTGGAATGCTAAGAATATCACATGCTATCCTTGAAAGATGAGGAAATCGAGTTGAGTTAGTCCTCCAATATTCCAACTCATTTAATTTTTTTCAAGTTAGCATCAAGTGTTGCTTCTTACAAGTAATAGTCTAGTTCAAACTTTTCTATGGATGCAATGTCTTGGTTCTTGCAAATAAGATAATCCTGGAATATAAAACTAAATCATTAAGCATCACTAAAATTATCAATCCAAATAACATTAAAAGAACACATTTAAATATAAAAATATTTAAAACTTAAAGCAAAAGCATCCATGTAATTATCTTCCTCTGATCCCACTAAATCAAGAGTAGATTTTTATGATGATGATAATGATGATCCCAACATATTAGAACTTGATATACCTTCTCCTCCAATACTACCGGTAGTAGCTGAAGATAATGGTGATCCCACATCTTTATAATCATTGAACAAATAATACAACTTGCTCTTAATATATTCAATTTTTTCATTACAATGTATGGGATCAAGTTTTGCGTAAGAATACTTCACTACATCAAACTTCATCCTTGGATTAAGAATAATCTCAAGAGCAAGAATGACACAGTAATCACTCTAATATTTATCAAACTTGACAAGCATTCTAGAAGCCATATCTCTAATTACAGGATTAACATTATCTAAATTTGCTTTTAACAATGATTCAATATTTGAAATTTGCATGAAATACATGTTAGAAGTCGAATATGATGACCTAGAAATCAACTTTGTTATTACTGCAAATGGCTTCAAGAATTTGCACATCTCTTCTACTCTAGACTACTCTTCACTTGTGAGGGAATATTTAAAATTGTATCCTGCAAAGCTAAACTAACAAAAGCACGACAATATTTAAGTGCACTTTCAAGCATCACATGTGTTGAATTCCATCTAGTTGGGACATCTAACCTCAAGCCTATGGAAATGTCATCCCCTCCATCTTGAGCATATTTTTTAAAATTTATCATCCTTGGCTTCGATGCCTTCACATATTTTATGCTCTCCCTAATCTTATATACTGTATCAATGGCTACTTTCAAGTCTTCTTGAACTATAAGATTCAAGATGTGAGCACAACATTTCACATGAAAAAAATTCCCTTGAACATATCAAGCCATTTTGTAAATTCAACATAGCTTTCAATATAACTTGCATATTGTCATTGGCTGAAGCAATGTCCAGAGTGATAGAAAACACTTTCTTCTCAATACCCCAATCTATCAAGCATTCATGTACTTTTTTAGCTAATTCAGCCCCAGAGTGTGGAGGATCCATCTTTGTAAATGCAAGAATTTTTCTATTAAGTTTTCATTTCTCATCAACAAAATATGCAGTTAAACAAAGATAACCTTTAGAAGTTATTGCAGTCCAATAATCAAAAGTCAAGCACACTCTGCTAAGACTATTTGTTATGATCTTTTTCAAATCCTCTTTTTGAATAAGATAAAAATTCCAAACATCCACTATAACAGTTTTTCTTGTAATGAGCTTATAATCAGGATTTAAATATTTATTTAGTTCCCTAACTCGTTCATACTTAACCCAAGAATAGGGGAGATCATATTGAATAATAGCTATAGAAATTATTTTTCAAACTTTATTATGATCAATTTGTCTAGCTTTAAGCTTCCTAGATTGATCTATCATACCAATTTCATGACATTTTGGAAGGGACAAACAAGCATTCACATGACGCCAAAGGGTCGAAGTACCATAATCCCTACCACCAATAACAAATGGTTTTCCACAACCATTACATGTAGCCTTCTCTTTTTCCATCTACTATACCAATTTTAGTATAATATTTCCATATTTCAGATATGCAAGATTTTGTTTTAGCTTTTTTATTTGAAGTATGTTGCACAAAAGAGTCAGATTCAGTAGGTGCTAGTTTTTCCACATTAACTTAACTATCTGTAGCACTAGCAGAAGCCATCCTACAACATATAATTAATTCATCTAAAGTAAATAGAGAAGTAAATCAACTAACCAAACAACTCAAATTCATATGAAAAGCATTAATTTCTAAACTATTTAAATGAACAGACCTACTAATTCAAAGAATTTAAAGTTGAATATAAATACTAGTTAGAAATGTTCAAACAAAACCAACACCTATAATGCCAAATCTGCAGAAGCTGATACACTACATATCTGATACACTACATAGTTGGTTGCTGGATCAATGTTTTGCCAAGTATTGATTTTTAGCACCGCATTGAACAAAATAAAGATCCCAGAACAAAAATCAGAGAAGTTGAGCAAGGAACAACATAAGGGGACGAACTTGTGGAGCTTGAGCAGAAGAGTTGAGTCAAGGCAAGATTAGAGAAGTTGAGCACGATTGCAAGAGCAAGATCTGACTTGGCCTATGAGTTCAGAAAACCAATGA